TTGCTGAGGGACCACGACCGCAGCTGAAGTCTCTGCGTGCACTTTTGCACGAAGGAGAGAAGATTGACTGGGAGCTGAATGGTCTTCAAGACCTAAAAGATTTTGTTGAAAAGTGTCAACAAGTAGCTGACGAAGCGGTCCTGTACACAACTAGAAAGCTGCAGGCTCGCCGCAAAGCCGAGCGTCCCGGTAGGGGAAGACCCAGCAAGTCAGCTATTGCAGAGGCGGATGAGAAGGAACGCGAGTACCGCAACGTTGAGAACATTCAGAAGCTTCTTAACCAGGCAAAAGATCTAGGATTCGATAGCCCCGAGATCACCACACTCCGAGAACGCGCAGAAAGCATTGTGGAGTACCAGAACAAAGCGCGAACTGCCTTACGCGACCGGCCTGCTGAGCAGAGTATTGCCCGACTTGATGAGCTTCTCGAAGAAGGCAAGGGGTTCAATGTTGACCTGCCTGAGCTTGAATCGCTCGAAAAGGTTGTACAACAATTGAGATGGCTACAAGAGGCACAGGATTTCAGAATCAAGCCAGCACCTACTCTTCAGGAGGTTAGTGATCTCATCAAGAGCGGTATCGAAGTTGGCATGCCTGAGCACCATCCCGACCTTCAGTTCCTGCAAGACAAGCGCACGCAAGGCGAGTTCTGGGAGAAGAAGGCGAAAGAGCTTATGGAAGTGGAGCATGTGCACTATCAACAACTCGACGCTTTCTCCAAGCAAGCGACCAACTTGCCGGTGACGCCGGAGACACGAGCGGCTATGGATGCAATTCTCAAGAAGCAGCGAGACGCGCAGGAGCTCATCATGTCTTTGTATGAGCGAAGTAAGAACCCAGATTTCACCCAGCGACCCCGATATATGGAAGTTCGTAATGCCATGGAAGGGCTGAACGCGCTGAACTGCAAGCCAGCTGGGACCAGCGATCTCGAGAAAGAACAGAAGCGCCATGAGGATTGGATGCGACGAGGCAAGAAACTCTTTGGCAAAGCCAATGCGCCGCTTCACATTTTACATGCGCATATGAAACAAGTAGATGAGCGCAATCGGGCTTGTTTCGACCTTTCTGACCAGCCTCGCATGCCTGTTGAACCTGCTTCGCGCGAACAGAGCCCAGCAGATGGAGAAGAGGTGGATGGTTCCGGGTCGAGCCGGGACGTCTTTTGCATTTGTCGCAAACCCGAAGCTGGTATGATGATTGAATGCGAATTGTGCCACGAATGGTGAGTTCTCCTAGTAATCCTTTTAGAGGGTGTTCGCTAACAAGAACAGGTACCATGGCAAGTGCCTAAAGATTGCACGTGGAAAAGTCAAGGAGGACGACAAGTACACATGTCCAATCTGTGACTACCGCGTAAAGATTCCGCGTGATGCAACCCGACCGAAACTCGAAGACTTGCAGTTATGGCAGGACGAGCTTCAAGGGTTGCCATTCCAACCAGAAGAGGAGGAGACACTGGAGTCGCTCATTGAGCATGGCACCAAATTCCGTGATTACGTGGCGCGATATATCAATCCCATGATGTCAAGCCCCGATGAGCTCACTACACAGCGATTCTATCTGCGAAAACTTGAGGGCGCCGAAATTCTCCTTGCGAATGAGATCAACTTCTTCCGCCAAGAGCTGCACAGATGGGCACCCGTCGCACCCACACCGCCACCGATTCTACAAGTATCTCTCTCGACCCGGAAGCCTCGGCCGACCAAACAGCAAAAGCTGATGAACCAATTGGGGATAACTAACCCAGAGGATCTTCCACAACACTTGAGGACCAAGGCGCATCAGTTCAAACGCAAGGAAGGAGATGTCACCAAACCCTCGAGTCCACCACCAGGAACTGGCGAACAGTCGCACACGCCACCCGGAGAACCTCGCCAAAGCCAAGGTGACAGTGAGTACTTTAATCCGGCTACTACATCGGCATACAACAACTCTCCGACGTTTGCTACGACGGCTCCTCTCAGCTTTGGTGGAGGCTCTTCTATCGCACCAATCGATCCAGGACTCTTTGAGAGCTCAGGGCCGGCAGGCCCAACTAGTCCGATGCAAGATCCATTCAAGAGTTCAGTCAGTGGGAATGAGATGTTTGGCGAAGCGATGGAGATGGGCGGTGGCCAGGCCGAGGAAGCCTTGGCCGTCACTGAAGGTAACAACTACGAGGAATAGTATCCCGCTGACTACGGTGTTGCTTCGCCTGGCGCAGGGCGTACTTTCTTTCACGCATAATAGGGCGGCGTTCCGGCATTTCTTATCTCAGCCGTTGTACACTAAGGGGTTGTTACTGTTTTCGCATGCTTTCCCACCATGGCATTCCCTGCATAAGCGAAATATTCTTTATTTATTCATGGATATGCGTGGGATATTGTAGGTGGATTTTCGGGCTGCTGTTTTATTCGGCGGGCGGTGCTTGTTGCATGCAGATGAGGTGTTGAGGGGGTCACGACAGAGCCATGCGACCAACATACCCATAAAAAGCGCGTAGTAGACTAGTCGGTGTTGTTTTCATTTACTCTTCATCGATAACGAAGAATCGATAATTACCATGCTAAAACTTGAGCGCTATGTGGTGCAAGTTGATGGGCGGGTGGAGGTGAAGTGATGATGCGGGGATCTCGGAGGTTTGCGTAGTAGCGCAACCAAACTACTGACAAAGGGCCCGTGCACGACATTTCTGATGGCGGTTCTGGTGCCATCAGCATCATTCCTGACCTCGGACGACACACTGCAATGCTGCCAAGTAGAGGGCTGCGGCCTGCCCAAATTGCGCCCTTGGCCTCGCGACAATCATCAATACTTAGATCGACAGCTACAAGGAAGGTGCGCACACCCAATGGTCCAATTGCTCGCTTCGTGCCATCTGCCCGCCCGCGTCCTGCCTAGCGAAGCCACACGACTTCGCACCCACGACTACTCTTTTGTCACCACTTGAGATGCATATTTGGCGAGCTTCCCCTTTTGAGATACTAACTGTAGCAGTTCTCGTCCCTTCCCCGCACAGCTGGCCTCGCTTCACAATCATGTCGAACAAGCCCGCTCCAAACTGCACAGTGGAGGAAGGGCGCAGCTGGCACTCATAATGTCATGCTGAGCGCTTCGTCCGTCCGATATGCTTCATGGTACGCGCCTTGGAGCTGGGGTAGTTCTGCCAAACCTGCCGACGCCAGTTCCGCTCTGCCCTCGAATCAAGTCCCAATTGCCGAATTCTCCCACCGTCATACGTCCGAGTTTGCAAAGCATGCAGAACCTGCCGTGAGCACAGCCACTCCCGAGCTTGCGCCTGCAACGATTGAGAAACCCGCAGTCGTTGATGGAGTGTCAAGCTCAACCAATACAGTTGCAGAGAATGCCTCTATCATCGGCGAACCCAAGACGCTTGACAATGTGCTCGAGAGCGATCCGATCAAAGATACACTCCCCACTGCCGAAATCGATCCCACTCACCTTATTGATCATGCCGGACAACTGAAGGAACTAGGTCTAGACTACGGCTGGGGCATGACTACGCTTTTTGAAAAGTGCATCGAGACTATTTACCTGCAGTCAGGTTTGGGCTGGGCCGGATCCATTCTGATCGCCGGTGTAGTAGTGCGTGGAGCAACCTTCTTCTTCCAAGCTCTTAGCTCAGACAAGATGGCAGCCATGGCCGCTCTAACACCTGTGACAAAGCCTCTGCAGGATAAGATGGAGGCTGCCATTGCGCGGGGTGATAAGCAGCAGGCGGATCTGTACAGGATGCAACAGGCCGAAATCATGAGACCGTACGTCGGAGGCATGGCTTCCATGGGAGGTTTCATGTTCATGCAAGCCTGGATTGGATTCTCGGCTTTCAGGTTTCTGAGAGCCATGGGTGAGCTGCCTGTGCCTGGCATGGAACACGATGGTTTCTTGTGGTTCACTGATTTGACTTCGCGTGACCCATACTTTCTTTTGCCGGCCGCGACAACGGCCGTCATGTACACTGTCTTCAAGGTATGTTTGTTCTCATAGCTACGAGGAGCGGAGAGCTAATCCACTTTCAACAGAATGGAGGCGAGGTCGGTGTACAAAACGACGTTGGCCAGGCTGCACAACGCCAAAAGCTGTTTACTGGTCTCGCAGTAGTGCTCGGTCTGGTAACTGCTTTCCAAGCCGCAGCTCTGCAACTTTACTTCCTTGTGTCTGGTATCATGGGTGGTATCACTGGTTGGATGCTGCGTCAAAACGGCTTCCGGCGCATGATTGGTATCCGCACCCTACCGAGCAAAAAGAGCAACGAGCTATACGCCAAGGTGGCACAAGGCGAGCTGAAGTTGAACGACATCAAGGGACCTGACGGCAGGATCCGCTACCAGCCGCCCACTCCCATCCGCAAAGCTCCCGCCAACCGCCGCCAAATCTCTGGCATCAACATCAAGCCCGGCGTGATTATCCCCGCGCATCTACAGGCTGAGGCGCCCAAGGTGGACCGTACCCGCCCCGACCGCGATGTTGACTTTGAGGAGGGTGCAGCGGGCAAGCCGATGATGGAGAAGCTGGACTACTACAGGAGGAACTACCGACTCAGCTACGTGTGGCGTAGATTCAACGACAGCGCCGAGGCATGGACGAGGAAGATGGGCTATGGGGGTAAGAAGATGACTGCCGAAGAGGCCAAGAGAAAGAGGAAGGCTGAGGAGTATGAGATTGAGCGTCGACGAAGATTTGAAAACAGGTCGTAAGGAAGTGCGAGGTTGTGTGGGGTCGAGAGTGAGTGTATGATATGACTGAACTTGTAGCCTGTGTTCTCAACGTAACAGACACAAGGGAGAAAAGTCCATGGAAGGAGGAGGTTGAAAAACGCCATTTTGTAGTATAGTGGTGTCTTTGTACAAATATTGGAATGCATGTATGCTCCGGAATGACATGTTTTTCTCTCTTCTACTTCAAAACGTAACGCCGACATTGCAATCGACTCGTGGGTATGTATATCTGCATGCACACTGCCTCGACACTAAAACCACCTCTCTATATCCTGCCGCCTACTCCAACGAAGTGTACATGTCGAGTTCCTGCCCGTTTCGCCGTCTTCGCTCCACAGGATCCGCACGCATCTCTACACCCGGACCTACGCGTCGACCAGTCGTAGAACCCAACCGGTGACTTGGAAATATCTACAACTCACAAATTAGCCATTGCTTTCCCTTCCCCCCCTTCTCTCTCTCTCCTCAAAAAAAGAAAAAGTAAAGAGACGAAGAATATGCAAACCAACATACCTTTGTACCCGACCACCCCAACCGATACGCCGCCTCATTCGCAACCAACTCGCCAAATCCCAACATCAATCCGTTCACGAAGGGCAGCAGCAGGTTGATCGCTGCGCCGCGCAGCAGGCCCCAGAGCGTGGGCGGCTTGTACAGGATCAGAGGGGAGGAGCTGGACGAGGCCGAGGCGGGCGAGGGGGAGAGATCCGGGTTTGCGTCGTAGGTTTCGCTGTCCGAGGGGATGGTTATGCCGGATTCGGTGAGGGTGTTTGGGGCAGGGGCGGGGGACGTCATTGTTGTGGTTGTGTTTGTTGGTGAGGAAGGTGTGTGTGTGGACGTTGGGTGGTGGTGGTGGTGGATGTTGGAGAGTTTGAGCCCCACGCGGAGGTGGGTGCGGAGATTGGTGCTGGGTTGGGCCGATGGGAGGTTTTGGATGGCCGGATGGCGGGGTGTTTGCAAAGAGGATTCTATGTGTGTGGAATTGAGAGAGGTGGGTTGGGCTTGTGTGTTTGGGGGATTTGAATTGGGTGGTGCCGCGTCAGGGCATTCCGAGGTGAGATGGAGTTGGGGTGGTGTTGGTGAGGCTCAATTCAACGTCGGTCTTGGCATTGCATGCCATGTTGGAAGCAGGTACTGAGGCTTGAGAGCTGTCTGCTTGTAAATTGTTTAGTTGAATGTGTTTACTGCAGACGCTCGATTCCGGTGCAACATTTGAATCTATTACATTGTTCTCACTAGTTTGTTTGCTGCAGCCTCTCACTCAACGCGTAGTAGTAAAAGTCCGAGCGACGTCACCAATTGCCGCCTCAGAACAAACGCCGTGGGATACATAGACCCCCACCCGACGGCTACAGTACGTACGGTACATTGGCAGCACGCCCGAGCTTACATCAACAACACGGGGTATCTTTCCACCTCGAGCACTTGGCAAGCTGTAATGTCTGAAGCTGCCACCGACCGAGACGCCCAGGTTGCGCAGCTCGCTAGCTTGACTGGTCTGGACGCTGCTACAGTATGTGGAAGCTCATCGAAGCTATTGGACGTGCTCACCAACACGCGCAACAGGCAGAGCGCTACCTAAACGCTTCCAACGGAGACCTCACTCTTGCAGCCTCGCTATTCTTTGACCAAACCGCCGAACAACAAGAAGCCGATTCCGAACCAGACGTCGACATGGCCGGCGACGACGATTCCACGAACAACCCCAGCCAGAACCCGCCTCCTCCCTCGGGTGGCGGACGTACGCTTGGAGGTGACTATGTTCCCTCTTCTGCACCGGCAGCAGCCTCTTCATCATCATCGCAGCGGCCTGCTGGCCGTGGACAGCCGACACAGCGTGGTGTGGCTGGTGCGAGGACCTTGAGGGACTTGCAGTCATCTGGTGGCGGCCACGGACACGCTCACGACGATGACGATGACGAGCATAGCCCCGAGGACGACAGCCAGGACTTCTTTGCCGGTGGTGAAAAGTCTGGCCTTGCTGTACAGAACCCCAGCCAGTCGAACCCACGCGATCAGATCAACAACATCCTCAAGCGGGCGCGACAGTAAGTTGGAGCGCAGTCACTCGTATGTAGCACGGCAGCTAACAGGCACAGAAATGCTCCTCGACCAGGTGGTGACGACGAGCAGCCAGCCAGCTCGCACTTCCGTGGTGCAGGCACAACGCTGGGTGGCGACGATGCTCCTTCGCGGATCATCCCAGACCCCAACGCGAACATGCCTGCACCGCCCCCGCGTGCCCACCGCGAACTCCACCTCTGGCGCGATGGCTTCTCTGTCGACGACGGCGACCTGTTTCGCTACGACGATCCGGCAAACGCACGCACACTGGAGATGATCAACACCGGTCACGCCCCGCTGCATATCCTGAATGTAGAGCACGGACAGGAGGTGGATGTCGAGGTACACGCGCACAAGGACGAGGACTACAAAAAGCCAAAGAAGAAGTACGTTCCCTTCTCAGGCAGTGGAAACCGGTTGGGCAGCCCCACACCTGGCTCGAGTTCAACGGCTGCTACCATGGCGGCTGCAGGCCCTAGTAGCACAGGAGCCTCGACGTCGGGGGGCTCTGCGCAACCTAGCGTCGAGGTGGACTCGTCGATACCTACCCTCACACTACAGGTCCGCCTCGGGGACGGCACACGATTGACATCGCGGTTCAATACTACACACACTATCGGCGACGTCTACGACTTTGTGACCAGGGCCAGTGCGGCTAGTCAAGGACGCGAATGGGCGCTCATGACGACATTTCCCAGTAAGGAACTGACGGACAAGGGCCAGGTGCTGGGTGACATTGCAGAGTTCAAGCGCGGAGGGGTTGTTGTGCAGAAGTGGAAGTGAAGAATGGTACGGTACGCCGGTGTGCGGGTGAAGGTTGGGATTGCAGTACCACCGGCTATGGGGGAAGAATGCAGAGAGGTAGACGCGGATGTATGATGACGATGATTATGAGGTGCATGATGATAGCCGAATTGGGGCCGCGTGGTGGCTAAACGGTTGAGAGAATCGGGCAGAGTGTAGTCGGCGCGATGGCGCAATTGCCCGAATAGTATCCATGGAAGCATGGCAAAAATCCAAATGTGACATGATGCACAAACTCGGCCAGTCAGTCAGTCGACACTCAACGGGCACATGCTGGGACAGACACTGTGGAGTGCAGCTGCTTTGTGCAATGGTGGCTAATTGGCGGAGAGTATGGCTTGGTGTGATGCGGTGAGACTTTGGTTTGGGGCGTTGTGCGAGGGCCGAAAGGAAGATTCCTTGAACCGCTATCGGCACTCGCTATCTCTGTCTCTGTCTCTCCATCTTTCTCTTTCTCATGCAGGACCGACTGAGGAGGCGGGCACTTTGTGGGGGGTGGGGGGACTTGCACACTGCATTCACCGAACAAATCGACACGTATGTACGTACAGACAGACAGACACTCTTGCTTATCCGTGCATCGGCTGAATAAGTCAAACTACGACAGAACGTGTGTGGGGACATTTGGCAGCATAGGCGCCTGCGTGCTGGCCATGTTTGCCTCTTATCTTAAATTATGCCGCCTACCAAGACGCCTGCCCAGCCGCATAATTTGCGGCAGCGCGCCCCCGCCCGCTCGCGGCCGCGTGTGATTTGAGCAGGGAGAAAAGGGCCATGTTCTTGAGTAGATGAGCTGAGGCGCATGGTGCGACGGCTCTTCCGCTCGGGAGCTTTTGCGAAACACGCAAGCATCGCCAACGTCGACGACCTGCGACCACTCGAGGGCGGCAGAAGCGTGTCCCAATCCCGTCACTTGGCGATCGCTATTTGCGTAACGCGTCAGCACTCTACTCCAACGCCCGGCCGCACGGGGCGGGAGGCGTCACAGCGCATGGGGGTTCAGTGTCAAAACCCATGGAGACACCCAGATCGACGAGCCTCTGGCCGCGCATTGCTGTTTGAGAGTGATGGACACCTCGTTGTGCTGCTACTAGCAATCTCATTACCCTGTCAACTCGCTGCCCCCCCGACCCATGTACCCCCATTTCCACTTGTCGCCGCCTCGTCTCGTCTGACCTTCACCTTTGGGCTCTTCGCTTTCTTTTTTCTTTCTAGTCCCATTCTCCTCTCCATCTGCTTCTCTTACTTAGTCGCTCCTTGCATCCATCGGCGCCATTTGCGGTCCCATACACACGGCAGCGACCAAGAGTACTGATAGCCAGGTCGACTATTATAGCTCCGGCCCTCTTGGCCCCAAAGCGCCGCCACCACCGCCCCGCCTGCTCTTTCCTTGCTCTCTACTATCTATATACCCCGTAGCTCAGGAGCTTCTCACTTGTCAAGTACCACCGCAGTCGCACGACATCCACTCTCTTTCACCCGCCATTCACTTGTTGCCCCATTACCCTCACGCGCCAAAGAGCAATGCTGTCTATTTACTGCCGCTAAAAGCTTACGACCAACTCTCTCTATCCCAGCTGCGATTACCGCACTTCGCTACTTGGCGCCTCCCGAGCACTAAGACGATACGAATACGAACAACATCAGCATCATGTTTTTCCGATCTCCCCGCAGATTTGCCATATTTTCCTTTGTAACGCTCCTCTTCATATGCCTCGTACTGCGCCAGAGCCCATGGGCTCAGGAAAAGGTGTACGAGAGGATACCGCTGTACAACTTGGAAAGACAACAATCAGAGCAAGAATTGTTGCACGAATCTCACGAACCACAAGCTCCCCTTGAAGATGCATGGCAACATGCGCTTCCCCTGCCTGGCGCAATCCCGAGCCCGGCAAAGGTACTTCCACCTCCCATGGAGTCTTCACGTGAGAAGGAGCCCGAGTCGAAGCCCGCCAAAGCCCACCCACCATGGATGACTGCGCCATCAAGAACTGGCAATTTTATTCCTCCTACCCCGCGACCGACCAACATGAAGGAGTACGTTAAGAAGATGCTCAAATGGCCTCGACCAAGCTGGGACGGACATTGGCCCCCATTCAGCGACTACGTCGACAAGGCGTATGATCCCAATCGCTGGGAGCATTTTGATATGTAAGTAGCTGTTTCTTCTCTGGTATGCATGGAATAGCTCATCTTAACCTTTTGGCAGGGACTACCGCATTTACGAGGCAGGACACAACAAGCTCAATGAGACAGCTGCGGCTGATCCAGTAGCCTACAAGCCGTTCCCCAAGTACAACACCCCCGAGTGGAAGAAGAAATGGCACGGCGAGCACGTGGCTTGCCTAGGTCCCCGAGGTATCCCACTAAACATTAGTACCGATGACGAAGTTCAAGTGTACCGTGGACTCCCGGAGGACTTTCCTCCAGTCTATGCAGGCGGTTATGATGTCATTGGCCTGGACGAGGATGTTTGCTTTGACCGCTACTCGCGATACGGTCCGTATGGATACGGCGACGATGAGTTCCCAGAGGTTGTCAAAGACTGGAAAGCGCCCAGGCTGGTACCTGATTGGTCCGAGGTCAATTGGGGCGAGCTGCAAGCCGATTGTTTGGAGCGCAACAAGGAGCGATATCGACCCGGCGCCAGATCCGAAATCGTAAAGATACCCAGCACCGCTTTGCCTGAGCCCGCTTCTGCTTCTGCCGCTTTTGCGATCCCAACAGATACCAGCAGGAGCAACCTTGAGGTTAGAAATCAGCCGGAAAAGAAGTACCATCACCGCACTGCTGTTCTTATCCGTGCCTGGACCGGTTACACGTACGAAGAGAACGACATCACTGCGATCCGCGCAATGGTATCTGAACTTTCTCTCCAATCTGGTGGAGAATATCAAGTCTACCTCTATGTCCACGTCAAGGACAGGAATCTTCGAATTTTCGATGACCAGGACGAGTATGACCGTGTACTCAAGGAGAATGTGCCCGAGGAACTTCAGGACATGGCAATTCTATGGTCAGAGTCCATCTTTCCACAGTGGTATCCGAAGGTTATGGATTGGCAGGTTTATTGGCAACAGTTCATGTGCCTACAATGGTTCAGTCTTACCCACCCTGAATTCGACTACATCTGGAACTGGGAGACAGACGCAAGATACACCGGACACCACTACCACTTTTTCGAGAAGATTAGCGAGTTTGCCGATAAGCAGCCCAGGAAGCTTTTGTGGGAGCGCAACAAGCGATACTATCTCCCCAGCATCCACGGAGACTACCAGTCATTTGTTGAGAACACGCACAAGGACGTTTTGAACGCATCGGCCAATTCGCTCATCCCACCTCCAGTGTGGGGACCACGACCCTGGGCACGTGCTGATCCTCCACAAAAACCACTTGGACCCACACCACCCACAACAATGGAAGAAGACAACTTTGAGTGGGGTGTTGCCGAGCCTGCGGATTTCATCACTCTGCTTCCCATGTGGGACCCACGCAATACAACATGGTCTTACAAGGATAAGATCTGGAACTACCTCCCGGGTATCAGGCCAATTTTCACTCCCGAAGACGGCCAGGCAGATTGGTTCACACACCCAGACTTTGAGCAGATTGACCGCCGAACATTTATCAACACTGTTGTACGATTCAGCAAGAAGATGCTTCAGGCCATGCATGAGGAGAACCTTGTCGGCCGCAGCATGCAAGCCGAGATGTGGCCCTCAACCGTAGCCCTCCAACATGGTCTCAAAGCCGTCTACGCCCCTCACCCCATCTTCACCGACCGCCACTGGCCCACTGGCTATACAGAAGCCATCTTCGATACGGCCAACACGGTCGACCCAGACACGGGCGAAGCCCTCGAACCCCGCCAGGGCGCCTGGACCGAAGAAGCAGACTCACCGTACAACCACGACCGTGAATACAACTTCCAGGGCTGGAGCTGGTACTACGCTTCCCGCTTCCCACGCAACCTCTACCGCAGATGGCTCAACTGGCCCATGACCAAGCAGAATTGGGGCGAGGAAGAACAGATTGATGGTGGCCCGGGATTCGACGGCGCGCTCGAACAAAAGAGAATGTGCATGCCTGGTATCTTACTACATCCCGTTAAGCGCATGACTAAAACTGATCCTAAGCCCTAAGATGCGGTGAGGGGAATGGTCATGGGAATGAGGATTTTGATTAAGCGTTGTGGTGTTTTTCTTGGACTAGGTGTAAAGATCACCAGGGAGTCATGCTGAGTTTCTTTTTTTTGTTCGTCGATAAGAACAACGATTTTGTTTTGTTGTCGATTGTCCCGTTTCAAAACGTTTTGTTATACCTCATTTTCCTTTTTTTTCTGTTACATGAGAAAAGTGCAGTGTTTGCGACTTTCTTTCTTTCTTTTTGTTTGCTGTGGACATCAACCTGGTGTTTGTATGGAAATTTTTTCCGCCTTCTTCTTCTTCTTCTTCTTCTTCTTCTTCTGTTATATACTTGATCTTTTTTCTTTTCTTTTCAAAACACTTTGTTGTCTCGACTGACAACTTTTTTTTGTTTGAGACAAAAAAGATAGGCATTCAGTCGTCCTTCCTTCCTTTCTTCTTCTTTGGAGGGGGAGTGTTTGTAAACTAAGTTGAAGTGGTGAGGATTGGGGGCTCGCTTTGGGCGTTCATCATGTTAAGGTGTAGCATAACATAGGTTCTTAGAGTACGATATCTATGGTCCATTTCAAAACTCCCCAATCCGTGAATCTTTTTTTTCCTGCCTTGGTATGTAATAAACAATGAAGATACGTAAGGAATGGTGAAGAACATCGCAAGAGCTGCTTCAGAGTCCAACTCCCTCCTTCCTCATTTCTGCTTCCTTCATATCACGTATGACACAACATACCTCTCTTCTGCGAAGAAGAGAAAGAGAAAAAAACCATCAAATCCAATCTTCCCACCCTATTCCATATCCCAACCAACTTCAACACTTTCCCACAACCTCTCGATCTCCACCACCCACCCCCTCACCCCTCCTTTCCCATCCCCCCCACGCTATCCTCCATCCCAATAGTCCACACAGCACTCAACAGCCCTAGCCTCCCCCTCAACAACTCTCCTCCCACCACCCACAAGCGAACAAGCGAACAAGCCGACAAAAAACCCGTATACAAACCTGTCCTCCCTACTTGCTTTTTTTTCTTCGAGTATGTAAGTACGTATTGACTGACGTCATAGTAAAAGGGTGATGGGGGTGGGAACCATGGTTCACTTATACTACATACTATTGCTACTACTAAGCACTAGGAACGCGAGATGCAAGATGATGTCCTACTACAGTGCCAAACTAGTGAAAACTGCCCAGGTCATGTGGAGAGAGAAACAAGGTTTTGTGGGGGGAAAAGTCACGTAGCAAAGGATGAGGGGTTGCTTCGAAAGGGGGGGGGGCGGGGTTAGTGGGGAAGTTGTGGTGAAGAAGGTAAAATGCAAAGGTGGTGTGGGGAAGGGGATTGGATGTGTGTATGGGCAAGTAGTGAGGTCGAAGTTTCGTGCTTGTTTTTTTTGGTGTGTAATTTGCTGTGGAACAGGGTTGGATGATATATTGTCATGGTGTTTCCTGCGCAATATATCAAGTAGCTAAAGAAAGCCGTTGTGTATTCAGTCGCCTTGCAGACAGAAAAAAAACATGTACGTGTATATCAGAAAGTCACAAGAAAGACAGAAGTTATTGGGTGAGTTGATTGGAAATTAACATTATCTACTAACGTTACGGAGCTTACAATGAGGGACTGGCAGGTAAGATACAAAAGCGAGCGAGCGTAGTACGTAGGATCGAGAGGTAAAAAGTGAAAGGCGGGCCATAAAGAGCGTAGGTTTGACATCCAGGTTCTTGTTTTGTTGTAACATTGTTTTTTCTCCCGTTTCCTTTCTTCACATGAGCATTATCGAAACATGTTCGTAGTGCTTTCCTTCAAGCAGTCGATATTCTTTCCTTACAAGACGATTTGCACGGTTTGTGCGATACTGGGGACGCCTTGCTCGGAGATGACGAAGAGAAAGTAGGCACCGGGAATGAGGATACCGCTGTCATTGGGGAGGGTGGCGGTGTAGCTGTTGCCGTTGGCGCGGACGTTGTTCAGGGGGACACGACGCTGGTCAGTGTTGACAGAGTGAGTGACGCTACCGATGCGGACGAGGACAAGGCTTGCGTTTGTAGTACCTGCATCAACCTTCACGGTAAGCGTGCCTCCGACCTTGACACTCTGGGCGCTGAGAGAGGCGATGGTAGGACGCTTGGCTGGGGAGCCATCCTGGTTGAAAAGGTAGGGTGGAGAGAAGATTTGACCGTCAGCGTGATCGACGAGCTTGTTGCAGTTGGCGGAGCTGCGTCCGACTCCCTGGGCAACGTAGCAGAGACCACCACCGCCGCTAAAGACACGGCCGTCAGCAAGTAGGATGCTGACAGAGTGGTAGTTGCGCGGTACGGCTTCTGGTGCTAGGACCCTCCAGGTCTTGGTCGCAGGGTTGAAAATCTCGGGGTACAGGGCACCGTCATCATCGGTGAATACCTTGGAGCGGCGTTGACCACCGGTGACAAGAATGCAACCATCAGGCAGAACAACAGCGTTAGAGAAACCACGAGGATAGGTCATATCGGCGACACGCTCGACCTTGGCAGGAGTATTGGGTTCACCAATGGTCGTGATGTGGGCACGGGCATTAGCATCCGAGTCAGTGTAGTCGGAAGAACCACCGGCGCTGAAGATTTTTCCAGCAGTGGCATCGTACATGACAAAGATACCGCACATGGCATCATCAATAGGATCTCTGATACCAGCAGCCACCTGAGAACCCTTGCCTGTTGTTCCGTACCAGTTCATGGCCTTGCTGGGTCCGGCTTGGAATACGGACTTGTTCTTCCAGCCAAAGAGCCATGCGTGGTTGTCCTCGCGCCAAATACCTTCATGGTCCGTGGTAAGCATTGGGGCAATCTTCGAGTTTGGAAGAGCAGTCCACGTGTTGGTAACAGGGTCGTAGACTTCGCCATCCTTGCCCATGCGGGGGCCAGAATACGCGCCTCCGATGGTGAAGATGCGGTTGTCAGATGTAGTGCAGGATGATTGGTAGCCACGAGCCATTTTCCTAGGCGAGTTAGCATAGAGCCAGATGTTTTATTCGATAGTCACATACATGTTGGCGGAACGAACAAAGGTGTTCGAAGCCGGGTTGTAGCTAGTAACAGCACTCGCATCAGAGCCTCCTTGGATTACAAGTCGTCCGTCTTGAAGACTGCTCATTGCAGGGCAGAACATGTCGTGTTGTGTGTTGCTCACAGTGCGAGCCGAAACAGCTCCACTACAAAGGATGTCAGCGTACTTGATGTCTAAATCACAGGTACAACATACGTTTGGTAGTTGTAGTCGGCAAACTGTGTACGTCCACCAGCGCCGCCAAAGGCATCAACACCCCAACTAGAGAATACAAGCAGTCGTTGCGAGACTGGGTACTCTGGAACAACATATGCAGCAACAGGAATCACTGGCAGATGGATAAGATCAGACCACTCGCCGTTCTGTGCAGGGGCAGATGGTTCAATCAGGCGCATGACATCGAAACGCTTGTCTGTGGACCAGATCAATGTGTTGGAACGCGCATCAGCCTTGATGTGGCAAACAGACTCGGCTTTGTCGTAGACTGCTGCCTTGCACGTTGCCCAGTTTGCGCAGAGGTAAGCACATTTCTCGAAGTCTGCAACACCTCGAAACAACTTCTCGGTTGGTCCTCGGATATCAGTGCCCGGGCAAACGGTGTATCGTTTCTAGAACGCCTCTTCTTAGCATCTGATGTCGCATTGCAACGTCTCACGTGAACTCACCTTGTTTCTTCCGTACGTCCATTCTCCTGCAGGGCAGCGGGCAATGTTAACTTGCTCAGCCTGAACTACTTGATATCGATCGTTGGTAACCCAGTTCAAACCTGCGATTTCCTTGAAGTGGCAGTCCTTTGTCTGTGTGTCGTAAACAGCTTTGAAGCAGTCCATGCTCTTGTCACAGAGCTTTGCGCATGCTGTGACAGAAGCGACTTTGGGTGTAACTGAGACTGTAGGACCAGTGAGGTCGGTTCCCGGACATACTCGGTATCTAATTCCCTGGGTACCGGTAAAGACTGTGTCGGTGCCTGGGCACGCATTAAGAGCATTAGTAGATTGGAAAAGAATGGCTGCAGAAAGCACTGCGAGAAGGGTTTGGGACTGCATCCTGGATGTCAACACAGAGTGCGGTGCCTGGAGACGTTTCCCAGGGCAGGGCGCCAACCTGCTATATAGCTGTGCCGGTATTCTAGCTCCCGATTCAATACTTGGACGCACGCCGAGCCACACGACTTTGCGAAAGTGGGTAGTGGCGAGACATGGAACGGAAGGGCTGCTGCTCTAGCATCGGAACAGGCAAAGTAGGCACCAGGAAGGGCAATGTGCCTGAGTAGGGCTCCTTGCAGACGATCATTCACATACCGTTGTTTTGTTATGGTCGATAGCGCTAAGTGACTTTTGGGGTAAACTGCCAGGGGTTCATGCCATCGGTAGCGGGCCGAAAATCCAAACTCGGCTAGGGGCGATACTATTGTCGGTGGCATCGACCTCCCTAGAGTCATGCCGGATGCTGCGCCTCAGGAATCACACCAATCTTATCTACCATGAGAAGGCTAGCTCACGCACCGAAGCAATGCCGGCAGATGTTACAGGTTCATGCTATAATTCCTAAACGTTCGGGGAACTGTATTGGCGTAATAGTGCTCGCGTATCGATGCCACTGTGGCTGCAGCCGCCATGCGCTGCGCGAGACGCTGTCGTTATCGTCGTGATGGTGTTAAGCGCTCACAAAGGGAGGATTTTGTTTTCCTGCCAAGTTGCTTGAAAAACGCCAAGGAAAACTTCGAGTTGATCCCTGCGTACATCAGGGTGACGATGGCTACAAAGAGAATCTTTAGCCAGATACCCACCGCTGGAATATTGCCCCTGTCCCTTCAGTAGGAAGGATGTGCAGAACATGTCATTGGATATAGTGTGTAGCCCCATACCCGGACCTATACTCTGCCAAGTAAGAGCCTAGCTCACTCTGGCTGACGCAGTTCGTACTGTAACAGCCTATTGTGACGAAAGACTGACGGAAGCGCGAATAAGAGGCCGCATATTTGCTTCCGGGGGGGGGGGTTGACTCCTGTGTGCGAGAGGGAGATTTGGTAGCGTTCAGTTCATCGAAAACTGATTTACTAGATACGAGCCTTCAGGTCGTAGTGAGAACCAACCCACTTGGTGGCAGGCAACAGTATGCCACCATATATCAGGTAGTGTAGCGTATCCTTGGCGCTGAGGAGTAGTTCTTAGCTGAGTAATTTTTAGGAATAGAATTGCTCTAAATTTGCCGCAGTCGGGCCGGATCTGATCTCCTCGGCCAGCTTACTAGCAAATCTCTAGCAACGTACGTAGCGGCACGTTCTGGTCACATAGATGAACACCTTTGGTTTCAATTGAATTGAGTCGCAGAACACCGTGTTCACCAATTTTGCTCAGGTACCGCGCCCCAGTTTGGCGCTGGCCAGACCCACTGCATGTCGTTGAAGCTTGTCGAAATTTGCGCAGGTGCCATCGAGAATGTTTCAGTCAGATCGTAGCATGGGCCAATGCTACCTAGGTCCATAAGCTCAGATGCATACGGAATACCACCCACTTCTACAGTCGCACAAGAATCCATCTCTCCTCCACTCATGCGCGATAATCTTTGTGTGATATATTTAACAAGTAAAGGTGGTTCGGAGTGCATGGATGCTGCTTTGCGTACGTCCCATGCTTGGAGTACGAGATCGCAGAATATTGCGAAGAAACGATTTCTACGCCTCGATTCCATGGGATTGTCCTCATTGTGGAGGCCCACAAAGCGAGCAGAGCAGTTGTCGCTCATGGCTTGCCAGGCCAAATCCGCGTGGTTTGACAGCGGCCGTCGTTTCAAATCTTGGATTAAGTGGACGTAAGCGGGGAAGGGAAAGTGTAGGTATATAATCCATCGGAAAGCTTTGGTCAGGGGAGAGCCCATCAGCATTGTATCGCATTCCAGCATGGTGCGAGCATGTACAAGACTGGCACCGTATTTTTCGTCGCTCTCATTCTCGGGATTTGGCGACCGCGTTGCCAAGTAGTGCGCAAACCGAGTTTTTGCAAAGAAGACACGCGTCCACCATATGGTCATAAAGTGCAGCGGGATTTGGGGATCACATTGCAAAAGGTATTTGCTCTCCAAGACAGACTCAAAACTTGCAATATCTTCTAATTCCGAACAGGAACCCGACGGGGACTTCTTCACAAGTTTCTTCATGATTGGGTTGATGAAGTCTAAATGAGAAGGATTGTGCCGGATGAAGTCGCCAAGCTTGCAGCGCACTACGGCGAACAATGCTTCAGATATATTGCTAGACTCAGTAGGTGGAGTCTTCATTTCATTGCGCAGGCTGAAATCGTTTATGTTGTGGGGAATGCGGCAGTCCCACGTAGGTATGAGCGTAGCCAGTTTGAAATCCGTCATCTCTGCGATGCGGCTATCAAAAAGGACGAGGGACCACCACAACCGACGTCGCTGATGAAAGTCAGCATCAAGCGATATACGTGTGTCTTTACATACCAGTTCGGCCTCAAGAACAGAATGTCTTGCATTGGTGGCCTCTGTATCAATGCCCATGCGCTGAGCAATACGAATTGCAGTGCCTAGCAGAGACGACAATGAACGCGGGTCGACCTCGGGCTTGATGGTGAACTAAACTCATCAGACGACTACTAGATGGCAAGCCAAATCTTTGTGTGACTTACTAAGTAGAGATGAAGGGCGGTCAAGCACTCACGGTTGCTTGATTTTAGGAATCCACAGTTGAGCAATGCTTCTCTGGCCCCCAACTGGTAGCCCCTGATAACCTCGAGTTTAGGCACACCGAACATGGTCTGACATTGATCTGGATCAAGACTAGAAATAACCATGCAGTATATTGCAAACATGAGAGCTTCCAAGTTGGGTTCGATGTTGGTCACGTCGCCAGCAGCATCGATGATGCGCGCTTGGAGAGTAGGCGTGTGTGTGAGCTTCAAGAGTGGGTCTACGTTTTCCAAGTATAGCTGCCAAAGTTTGAAGATTTGCGTCTGAGATGGATGGAGAGCCGAAAGCTCGACTCCGACAGTTCGTGAGCAGAACAAGAGGTGTTCATTACGGTATAGTCCGTCAGCGGAGAGGTCGTCCCATGCCTTGACAATTTTTTGCGGCTCAAGAATGGGGTCTGCAGGGTCAGTTTCATCGGAATCATCATCACTTTCCTGGCTTTCGCCGTCATTTGGATACTGCAACTTTGCACGTGTTAGCGCAACCACTGTGGGGACCTTTGCAAGCTCACCTTGGGCACCATGGCACTCCAAAAACTCCTGGGCAAGATTAGTAATACGATAGTAGTTGGTCCAGGGCGAGCCCGCATACTTTGCTTGAGTAGACTCGGTTGCCAGACTTGGGCGTGGTAGCTCGGCACTACTATTCTGGGTAGTGTCTTTAGCTTGAGTGCCAGCTACATGATTACTGCCTATAGCATGTGGGCTGGAATAGCGGTTTGCGTGAGAGGCATGCAGCGGCTCGAAGGGAATATTGTGCTCTGTCAAGAGACGCTCATAGTGGCGAAGACGCTCCAGCAACTCTCGCTCAGGGAATCTGCGGCGTCTCTGACGAGGAATGGTTGCAGCAGAGACGCATTGGACGCCTGCTTTTATGCAGTTTGAGCATGGAGACCTGCGATCACATTTGACTTTGCGTTGAGCGCACAGAATGCATGAAAGAACCCGCTGTGGCTTGGCTGCGGGGGCGGGTAGAGGTGGAGGCGGAGGCGGAGCAACAGCACCAGGCTCAGGTGTGGGAGAGTCGGACGACATTGTGTGACAGGCAAGGTTGGTGCCAAGACGGAGATGGAGGTGGATGAGAGCCAAGAGCAAAGAGAGTTCATCGAAACTTCATCAGGGGGTCGGCGGTGTTGAGTATCAGGCAACCACTCCGGCCTGCTAGACCCGAAGCTGCTTATCTCCGGCGCGCAGGTGCTTGTGTGCAGAAGACAGCACATGGCGTTTCCAGAAGAGGCATTGTTATCGACGCATGTCACTGCCAGCAGCAAGTTAGCTGGACGCGCCATGGCGGTGATGGGACCGTGTTTCTCAGCCACATCAGGTGGCGCGTTATTGAGCAATGAATGGTACATGTGTATGTACACGCATACACAACATGTGTCTTACGGAAGAGCATGGGCTTGACACGGCGGGTAAACGGCATGCTCGTCGTAGGCACCCAGGGGAACAGGAAGCAAGTAGATGCTTACTCGCCTGTCTCTTCACGTGAACAGGTACTGCATGTGTAGATGGTATTACATTGGCGTCAGCAATACTTATGGCGGGGCCCAAGGCATGGTATACTTACTGCACCCTGGACCGGCAATAGCCGTTGGCGGTGCCTTTGTAGTATTGTTCACCATCCCGACATCGGCCGAGATGTGGATAGCCAGGAACACACTCTACGCAGTAAGATGAGTTCAACCAGTACTATAGTAGAATCGTGCGGAAACGCAACCAGACTGTTTCAACACTCAAATCGGGCCTTTAGCAGGCACAATGGCGTTTACCGTACTATCCGACAATGACATCAGATCCCTTCTTTGCAGCCTCAGCCCAGCCGACGCAGAGAAGCTCACCTCACGCCTCAACCAGGCACTCTCACAATACTCGTGCAATGACGAAGCGCCCTACCAACCACACCGCGCTCAGGTCACGCGCCCAGATGGCCAGGTTAGCCTGTTCATGCCCGCCACGACACCTTCATCCATTGGTGTCAAGATTGTTGGTGTCGCTCCGTCCCAAGCTCCGCCTCCGGGCGAGAAGCCCAGGCCTGCGCTGAAGAGCGTCCTCACAATTTGCGACGAGTTGGGTCAGGCTGTGGGCGTGCTGAATGCAGCAGAGCTGACTGCCTTCCGCACGGCCTTGGGAACCATGTTGTTGTATCGATACAGGAAATTCACGCAAAACATAGTCGTGTTTGGCGCGGGTAAGCAGGCTGAGTGGCATATTCGACTTGCTGTTCTGCTCAAAAGCAACGACATCAGCAAGATTACCATTGTAAATCGATCTCGGGCCAGAGCAGACCAATTGGTCGAGACGTTGACAAGAGCGGGACTCAGTTCGCATGTCCAGATCAAAGTATTTGAAGGAGGTGAAGATTCGT